AATGGGATTCACAGAGTTTTAGAGGGTGCACTTGAGAACAAGGAGTCCAGCTACAGGGGACAGACAAGGACAGCTACCTCTGCATGGAGTAGTTACAGGGCTGTGAGATCTCAGGCTTTGGATTTTCTTTCCCCAAACAGGAAAAAAAAGAGAACTTGCTTCCAAGTATGAGTGAAGATTAGTTTTAGTGTTTTCTCATCTGAGCTTTAATTCCACTCTGCCCTTAAGAGATGTTTTTAAATTCCCATTTTTGTTGGCCCCTCCCCAGCTCCAGCCTGTGTTACCCACTCCAAGTGCCAGGGCCTTGAGTGTAGGAGCCCAGAGTGCATCCCTGTGGAATTTCTCATTTTTGGTGAGACAAGCTGCCCTTCTTCTTGCCTCTATCATTAACAAAAGACAATACGAAAGATTCCTCTACTTTTAATATTTCCAGTTGGCTTAGAATAGCAGGTTTTTGGATTCTCTTCCATCTAACTTAGAGAAGAGATGTAGGCATTTTTTCCCAGAGAGGCTCAATTTTCAGTAGTTAAACCTAAAGATGTATAAAATAGATTTATATTAAATTATGTTAATAGAAGCCTAGTAAATGCACCATTTAATCACATAGAAAAATATTGTTTTCTTTTAAGAGTTCTGTCACCTTAAGAGGTACATGCAAAGATTTCCTGTGAATAATGAAAATAGGAACAATTGCTTTGATGCTCTGAATTGCATTCATGTCTAGGAGAGTGTTAGGCTGTGTTTGGAGAGGATAGGAGGATCTCCTTTTCAAGCAATGATTGCGCCTTTAAACCCAATTTCCTCTAGCAAATGACCTCTATTGGAAGTGTCATACTTCTCCCCTCTCCTATCCTGAAGGCTTGGCCTGAGAGCCAACCTAGAACTCTCTCTAGTCTCCCCTTATGACTCAGCTTTTTGCTCCTTCCCCCAACCCAGCTCTGAGCACTTTCCCACCTCCCTCAAAGAACTCTCCCTAGGAGTACCATGAAAAGTAGTGGACCCTGCAGCAAAGGTAGAAGTAAGATAAAGAACAAAGAATTCTGGTGAAAATAACTCTTCTCTTTTCACAACATGACCACCACCAACAGAGTTATTTTTCTTTTTCACATACACATATACTCATGCACACATGCACTCACACACATGCACATGCATGTATAATACACACAGACCCTGTTGCCCTCTATGACCTCTTCTAGTTAGAGCGAGCACCCTTCCAACAATTCCCTGACCACAGTCAGGATGGGCCGAACGAACTGCTTTTCTAATCCTGATCAGACATGAAAGGGCAGAATTTGTGGGGAGGAAGGGTGAAGGAAGGCAGGAGGCAGCCAGACATCAAAGACGTCACATCCCAAGTTTTGCTTTCTCCTAAAATACTTTTGGATAGCCTTGAAGGGATGAGGTGGATGGGACCGAGGCTATGATGACCACTTCAGAATAAGGTGGGGGAGGGGGGCCTATCATCACCAGTGTCTCCATCACCTGGGCTCATGGACACCTAGGGGTGGGTGCCTAGGTCCCTTCTATCCTGGGCATGTTTTGCAACCAAGAAGACTTGCTGAGTGCCACTATCTGTGTTGGGCCCTTGGCCTTGGGTATGCGTTGGTCACTGTGTGGGTGAGTAAAGGGAAAGGTCTCTGCCCATCCTCTTTTCTCTGCATGTCTGCACTGGGTCAGGATACAGGGCAAGGAGTCATCCTACCTGCTGCCCATCCCACCCCCAATTCTTGTCCTTACTAAAGCTACCAAGCTACCACAGGATTTGTGCTCAAAGAGGTGGGCTCAACCACACTATTGACTCCTGCTGCTCATTTCTTTTCTCTTAATTGGACAGGTCCTGATTTCTAATTCTCCTTTTCATCGTCTTTCTCTCTTTCTGTTATGGGTCTATAAGCCCCTAAGAGACCACGTTTTGTGGGAACAGAGTTCTGTTTCTCAAAATGGAACATCTAGGGCTTTGCAGGTAGGAAAAGTTGTCAAGGGTGATCCCACACATCTTAAACATTCCTCTTTAATAAACCTGGAGACACTTCACAGAGCATTTGACATCAGGACTGGTTAGCAGAATATCTATGTGTCTGAGTCTGCATGTCTGAGTGTTGGCATAGGTGTCCTTCATCCAAGGTCAAACTGTAGGCCTTTAAAAGCAGACAGATTTCCAAAGCCTTATTCTGATTTGCATACTTCAAAAACACTTAATGAAGGGTTGGGTGACAAACCCACTCTAGTATACAAGACCTCATGGTTCACTCTGAAGGTGACAAGAAAGTCCCCTGTGCATCAAATGTCCTAGAACAAGGAAGAGGACACCCTCTTACCCTCTTTCCATCCCTCCTTCCTCCTCCCCTCATCTCCCCGCCCCTCCCGCAACCCATGTCTACATGGGTATCTTTTAATGAATCTTTTTGCTTCTGGTGATGGATCTATTGTTCATTCTCTCTTTCCTGAGTAATTTCCTCTAAGAAGGGAGAGTGGCTGAGACCATGCTAGCAGCCAAAAACAGTCAAGGGCGGGGGCGGGGCGGCTAGTACCAGGTCTTGCACTGCAGGGCTGTGGAGCCGGGCCCTCCGCGCAGCAGCGGCTGCGGTCAGTGGATGGCTGTGCGCTACGGGCGCAAGGCCTGGAGCCAGGCGAGGCGCAGAACTTGGACTTGGCATGGACTTGGGGAGGGCCAGGCCCGAGCTCGAGGGAGACAGAAGGGCCTGCGGAGGGTAGATGGGAGGGGGAAGGAAGTGTCCGTCCAACGCCCAGACGAGGCTTAGTTTCGGGCAGGAGAGTGGAAAGCAGCAGCAGGTCCTCTTTATCCTTCCCGTTATTTGCTGAAAAGGAATTCTCCTTAAACTCGGGCTCCTTGCTCCTCGACATTCACTTCTTCCCACCCCCATACTCGTGACTGGAGGGGCCTGTTTATTGAGAAGGAGGGAGACGGGATCTTCGGAACAGGCCTCGGGTTGGCGCCCTCTCCCCTTCGCGGAGGGCAGGGCAAGGGGCCCGAAGCTCTTCGTGCGCGAGAGGGCAGAGGCGGAGCCTCCAGAACGAGGCAGAAACGAGCCGGATGCCGGTGACCTCCGTGCAGGGCCAGACCCGAGTCTCTGCACAAAGCCGCGCCCTCTCCGCATTCAGTTCGACACCGTGAGGCCTCTCCTCCTTCCAGCCAGTCTCGGCCGGCACCCGAATTCGAGTAAGGATCGGCCTCCAGAGTGTGAAAGGGCGATTTTCCTTCTGGGGGGCGGGGCGGGGACAAGGAGGAGGGAGAGAGGGAGGGGCAGAGAGAAAGAGGAAGGGAACGGAGAGAGACGTACAAACAGACAGAAGACAGACAAGACTCTGGGAAGGGAAAACCGCAGTCCCTTCCTCCATTCCTTCTACTCCGTCCCCGATTAGCTTCCAGACCTCAGTCTTGGAGCCCCAAGCCCACCTGGTGAACTTTCAGTTACTACAGACCTAAAGTCAGACCAAGGAGTCCGTGTATGTGTGTTGTAAAAAGTGCCTTTACAGAAAATCATCAGAAATAATACCAGTGGGCATTAGTGAGGTTCGGCTTTCAGAAAATGGCATCTCCTAGTTGCCGTGTTTCCAGCTTCTCTTCCCTTTTAGATGACAGGGCCTGGCAGCACCGAGGAGAGCGCCAGGTGGCCCAGCTGAGGGCACCGCCCCAGGCTCCTCCCAGAATGGGCTCGCAGAAGTTACCTCTGCAGGGTGATGAGAGAGAGGAACTAGCAGGGACACAATTTAGGTGAGAGTCATGGAGACCAGGGAAAAAAAAGAAAAAAAAAGAAAAAAAAACAAAGAGTCCAAAGGCATCTTTGTGCTATTCTGGGAAAGTGAGAACGAAAATCATCAGACAGAATGATTCTCTGTCCCTGACCTATTGTTTTCTTGGCATTGATGAAAGCCAGCTAATTTCTTAGCTAGAGGAACAACCAGGAACGGCAATGTTTCTGGTCACTTAATAGCATTATTTGTAAGTTTCCATGTTTGCTTCCAATCTGCTTTGATGGATTGTTGCTCTTCCAAAAACTATTCCAATTCTTCACATTCCTTCACATAATTCAGTTTTTAGTACTAAGGGAGATGAGGAAGAAGAAAAAAGGTGGGTACTGCCACAGAAAATAAATACTAGGTAAGGAATGTTCACCCTTTCTCGCTAACAAGATTAAAAGGTTTGTCCATCATTCACTGTCAGCATCACTTTAAATGGGGTGATGGTCCTGTCATCTGCGGGGAGATTAGCTATTTTGAAGATGGGGAGTTACTACTTGGTAGGTGGCATCGTAGCTGAAGGTGTCTCCTTGTCAGAAGTTTCTGTTACACAGAAATCCTACAGAGCCCCAAACTCCCTCAACCAAGAGACCCACAAGACCATCTAAATTCGCTCCATTTTTTCTGTCCGAGGTGACAGGGGAAGATGGTGAGAGCAAACACCATGGATTCAAAACCTTGATTTTGTTTCATTTATTTAAATAAATATAAATATAAATTTTATATAAAACTATTCACATAAAAAGGAACTTCCAGCACTTGGATTTTAAACTCTCCCCAGGCAAATTTTCAGAAAGCAAGACCTACAGGGTTTACTTTTCTAAGTTATTCTCAATTCAATACTTTTATTTTAAAAACAACAGGAAATAATCAAGAAACCCGGTGTTCTTATCAGGTTCTGAAAGATAAAGGGAAAATGGCATGCGCTTTCAAAAAACCCCATACAGTGCTAAACTCAAACCAACCCTGTTTTTTCTGTTATATGACAAGACTGAGTAAAATCTAGATTATTTACATTAAAAAATCTATTACTGAGAGTGGACCCCTAAACAAATAGGTCAAGGAGGAGACGTGAATGGGCAGACCCAGCATGCACGCCCTGGGAACGCTCCGCTCCGTCCTTCTCCAGATGGGACCACGGAGTGAGCGAGGAGGATTTTTGACCCCTGGGTGCCTGCCGCATTAGCGTGGTGGGGGCTCCCGGAAGTGTGTGCTGAGAGGGAGGCGACCCTCCCTCATAAGGGGGAAATCTCCTTGTCCTCGTTGGCCGAGGCCGGCGACAAGGAGTCCTCATCCTCAGAGCGCGCGTAATGTGCTTGGCTGCCGACGCACTTGCAGCCGGCGTGATTGTTCCTCTGCGTGCCCTTCCCTTCCTTCTTATGCTTTACCCGGCGATTCTGAAACCAGATTTTCACCTGCTTCTCCGACAGGTTCAGGTACGTGGCGATTTCGATCCTCCGGAGCCGAGACAGGTACATGTTGGAAGAGAATTCCCGCTCCAGCTCCAGGAGCTGCGTGCTAGTGAACGCCGTCCTCATCCTCTTGCCATTGGGTACCTGGCTGGCGTCTGCGCCCCCTGCACATGAGCCAAGAGAGGGCAGAGAGGTCATTCTCGAGAAACGCGCTCCCACTCCACATGCCATCTATTGGAAAGGATACCTCTCAAGGACCCACCCGGGAAGCTCAACCATATGCCTGTATCCATCCCTCACACTTTCCTATTTCCTAGCGCATCCTTTCTTAGCCAAGAAAGGTAGAGACCCCCAAAACAAGTAAAGGCCTTAGACGTGTGGGACGTAAAGTCAGAGGATTAAAGGGGATTGGGGTTTGCATAGTCAAATCTTCCCCTTTCTGGCCTAGCAGAGAAGAAGAGGCAGTCAAGCTTAGCCCAAAGCATCGAAACGCTTTAGCCAGATCCGACGCCTAATGCTGCATTGACGTTCAAACACACCCACTCTGAACCTCAGCCAGCTAACATCCCGTTTCTCAGCCCTCAAGTTCGACGTCCCTAAGGCCCCTATGTTACGGAATACTTGGGAACCAGGTACTAAGAATGAGGTGCACCAGGCTGTTTGGAGAGGTTGGCAAGCTAACTTTCACCTTCGTAGAACTTCTTGGGACCACTTCACAGTTATACTAAAAGCCCCTCCTCCCTCCCCACCCCGCCCCCTAGGCTCCCACTTCCTCCACAGTAGGCGAAGTTCGCTCCCGAGAGCTGAGAAAGCGCCGCGCGCAGGTGCCCAAAGACCCCGCCCTACCCATCGTGAGACAGTGGAATCTCCGCGGGTCTGCCACGTTGTAGGTGGTGGCGGCGCAGACAGGTGCGTGGTGCTGCGGATGCCCCAAGGCCGCCGCGGCGGCCGCCGCTGCTGCCGCAGCTGCCGCGGCAGCAGCCGAACCAGGCTGTTGGGGCTGGTGGTGGTGATGGTGGTGCTGCGGCGGGTGGTGGTGATGGTGCGCGTGGCTTACGCGCGGGCAAAACTGTGCGTCCCCAGGACCCGAAGAAAACTGACTTTTGAGCAGGGGCAAGGCCCCGGCGCCGCCCGCCGCCCTGCTACCCCCGGCCCCTGTACTGCCGTTCCCTGCGCCCCCGCTGCCGGAGCCCGTCGGCCCCCGAGAGGAGTGCAGGTGCGAAGTGACGCAGAGAGGGCAAACGCAGAAAGCGCCGCTCTTGCGAGACGGGCAGCCGGGCCCGGACACGGACATCACCAGCGGGGACGGCATGCCCAGCGGGATGAAGAAATCTGGCCCGGGGTGCGGCTCAGGCAGCGAGGGCTCGGGCCGTGAGGAGTCCTTGATGATGAGCGAGTCGACATAGAAGGAGCGCGACATGTCGGGATGGGTGGGTGGCTGGAGGGCCCGGCTGGCTGTGGTGCCCCCTCCCCTCTCCTGTTCAGAGCTCTGCCCCGGACGCGGCGCGGATGCAGGCGGTCAAGCCCTCGGGGACGCGGAGGTGTCGGCGTCTGGGCGGCGAACAAAGGGGTCCCTGGAGAGGGCTGATCCTCACGTCCCCCGCCCGGCGCCCCGGCTCCGGGATTTTATAGCCCCCACCCCGGCACGTGATGCTGTTGAGTACCGCTCGGCTCAGGCTCCTCAGCAGCTCCCCACCCTCGGGATAGGCTGCCCGAGTCACAACAGAAGCAGTGAGGAGGGGCGGGCGCGCGGCAGGGAATAACTCGGAGGAGGGGGGTGGGGGAGACTTTGCAAAGTGTAGGTTTTGTTAATTTCGCGGGGAGGCCAGCCTCCTCCTCCTCTTCCTGCAAGCTTTCCCGGGAAATCAGAGCTGCATCCTCCGTCCCACCCCTTCTCAAGCCCGGGCCCCAGCCCAACGCTTCCCGGAGCCTGGCCGCAAAGCGCACCAGGTGGGGACTTTGAGACCTTTTGAATAGGGATGCCCAGGACTCCCTGCTCCTCTGTGCCAGCCGTGGCCGAGGCGCGGTAAAGTGTGAGGCCTGCAGTTTGGAGCAGTATTATAGGGGCAGAGGACTGGAAGCAGCCCAGTCCCGGAGCGCGGCTTAGGCCACGGACACACAGACGCGCGCACTCAGAGTCCTCCAGCTTTTGGACTTGGCCAAGGTCATTCATGTCATTTCGGTGGCTAATTCCTGAGGGACCCCGGGAGTAACAGAGAGGTCATCCAGCTAAAAAGCTGACAAGCTTTTCATTTTGATTCTTGAGAAAGTCTATAATGCCTTTGCACTTGGGGCTACTCGATCAATGGTGCTTCCTTGCGTCTCTCTCTAATGGGCAGCTCTCCCTATGGCAGAGAGAGAGAAGTTGAAGAGTTACTCTTTTCATTCTACAAACGGTTCCACCAGTACCTGTCCAGGCCAAACCTACAAACTCCATCCAAGGATTTGTGAGAGAGAACTCAAGCCCTAGGCCTCCTGGAGCCCGGGCAGGGGTTGGGGAGGCCTTTGCTCTGGGTCCCCTCTCCCCCATCTTCTGCCCCTTTGAGGTTTCCAGACTTGGGCAGCTGGCAGACTAACCAGAAAGCACTGTCCCCTCTGCACTCCTTTAAAAGCCCTAAAAGATTGAAGGGAATTGAGCCATTCGAGGAATCCAGCCTCGGATGGGAGAAGTGATTTGGGAAAGGAAATCTCTGAGTGGCACAGGGTCCAGTGGCAGATCCGTGCACTAGTGGCTTTGTGAGAGGGTGGCTGCCGAGATAGGGAGGCTGTTGACCCTTGGGGAAGGCAAGGTGACAGCTTTCTTTCCTTTGCCCTGTAGAAAACGTGTCTGGAGTAGGGAGGGTGAGCAACAACTGCAAATCGGATGCTTCCCCCCAAACAGCTAACTTTAGGCCTGAGTTCACAGTGGTGCTAAGAAACTTGGGGACAGGACTTTCTCCACCTCTGAGAACCAAGTGCCCAGATCCTGGGGAAATGCCAGCTTCTTAGCTGGAGCTGTGGCTGTCTCCCTATCCTCTGTCTTTCTGTCTCTCCTTTCCCCTTTCCATCTGACAGTCTCTTGCCTGCTAGAGAAGTGTAATTGGGTTGTAGGGATGCCCCGCTCTGGGGAGCCCAGGATTTATGGATGGCAATTAAAGTTTTATGAATTGCAGCTGAGGCTGGTTATTGAGCTATTTGAATGTGATTAGAATTCAATTAGAAAGTGGTTAGTGGACGGTGGGTCTCCAGAGTGTAAACAGACAGCTATTCCAGAAATGTGCTAATCCAACATCTTGTGACAACAATTAAGGAGTCTCAGGGCTTAACTTAGGGCAACGCAGCTGTAACTACTTTTGTACCACAAGGTTTGTCGGTGCAGCCATCGCAGACGCTCAGCCTGAACCTGGCCCTGCCTGGGTCAGCCCAACCTCACTCAAATTGATAGAATCCAGGCCATCACTGGGATTATTCCAGCCCCCAAAAGAAGACTGGGAGCCCCACCAGCAAGAGAGGCTTAATGACAGAGTGTTTTTTACAGGCCTAAGTTGTCCAAATAGAAATCGTGATATCCCCATTCACTATGTAAGTTACATATATTTATTTATTTAAAATTATATATTATAAGATATTGTATATAAATATATATATGTCATTTGTTCCGTTTGCAAATATATATCCCTCTCTCCTTTTTTCTCCCCCAGGCACGGTAGAAGTTATCCAAAATCTATTTGGGGCTGAAGTTATGGGTGTCAATGTCCCCGGTGCTTCTGAGTGTGCTCACAGGAAGAACTATGCTAATGTGCTCCAAGTTGTGCTTATATGAGGACCATTTTATTTTGGAGAATCCTAATTACAAAGCTTGAGCATCTAATTCAATGTATACTTGGCTATGGAAACATGCCATTGGAGCTAGAGTGCTAAGGCATTCTGAGAACAGTGCAAGGCTCACGAGATTGCTTAGGGCTGCAAGGGGAACAGCAGCTGGAGCCAGACCGAGGCCCAAAGCAGACCACATCTGGGGAACTTGCCTGTTAGGGTACTCGGTTAATTGCTCAAGCCAAATAAGAGCAACTATTTGGGGGTCATGTTCCATATGAGAGTCTTTCTCTTCTTAGAATTCTCTTATTTCTCTTTGGATCTCTCAGGATCTCCCTGTCTGCCTGTCTCTCCCTTCCTCCACTTCAGCTCTGTCTTCAGAAGCCTTACCACCCCCTCCCAAGAAAGCCTACCTTCCATGCCCCAGGCAGTTCTGCAGCTCTCCTAGCCCAGCTAGAACCTTCCCAAGGACAGCAGTACTTTGAATCAGCTCAGAGCAGAAGGGCCCCCCCAAGATGTTGGTGGGCCCCCATGGAGCCCCCACTGCTGCACAATTTTATTTCTCACTGATTCTGTCCGATAAAATTTCATCGTCCATTAAGTAATCCCTGAAATGAGAGCTCTTATGAGCCTATAATGAGCTCTAATTGCCACGATTGGGGGAGCCACGTGGAAGGATTTATTCCGTATTAAGCAGTTGGGTACAGAGTACAGGCTGTTACCTAAGCCATTACTTTCATAATTCAAGGAGAAAATTAGTTCTTTTGTGGGGGGGGGGGCGCGCATCCTTTGATTTCCTCCCTTTTGCTCAGGATGACAGAGGATGACGTTGTCTTCCTTGGGTGCAAGGCAATGTCACAAATGCAAAGGCAACAATATTGTCCCCCTCTATCCCCACACCCCTGCCCAGTCTAGACAGCCACCCTTACCCTGAGCTGAGAAAGAAAATCAAAGCAGTTCAGAGGTGCCGCCCTCTGCCCCTGGACTCTGCAACTTGAGCCTCGATGAGCAGTTTTCTCCCAGCTCCAACTTGAAATTTGAATTCTTGGTTGTAGATTTCAAAAAGTGTTCCACTACTTTATCCCGATCTGGGATCACACCTGACCTGAACCCCTCATACCTCTCTTCTTCTCTGTCTTCCTTTTTCCTTTCAAGGGCAAAGTTGGAGAAAGCAGGGGGCGGGGACTTAGCGTTGCTTATACAACAGCTCTAGAGTTCTGACCCGTGGTCGTGCTCAGCGGTTTTTCAGCTGTAACTCCTACTTTGCCCACCCCTGCACCTCCGCATTCCTAGTTCTTTTTTTTTTTTTCCCTCCCCTCTCTCAGTTTCAGGGTTTGCCTACACGATTCTCTTTCCCCTAACCAAGGCGGTGAGCAGGGCGGGACAGCCCGCGAGTTGGCTGGGCCGCCTTGGATTTATTTGCTCCTCTTACATTGATTTCATATTAGTTTCCAAAGCGATGAATGATCTCAAAGCTGGGTTTTGTTAGCCGAATACAAACAGGAGACAGGACTTACTTGCCCCCAGCTCCCTTTAATGAGGTCATTATCAAAGCGTGAACAAGTCTATGAATGTTTTATTGAAAGCGCATCGTTAACTTGTATCCATCCTTTTCTCCGAGTGGCATTGTGATATTGCTGTCTGTGGCACATCTTACCCGATATAGCCCGAGATTTCCCCATTCTCTGTAACCAGGCAACCCTTTCTGAATACCCAAAAATTGAAAAGAACCGCTTAGTCTTCAAGAAAGTCCTCAATAATAGTGGAAAAGAACAAAGATCCAGGAGACAACAAAATGCCACAGGGGTGACTTTTCATGAGCAATTATCTCTCATTAATCAGAAGAACAGCTGCAATATTAATTTTCTCTCTTTCTTCCTCTCTTTTCACAGTCCCCAACATTTGAATAATCATAAATTTTGATTTTATGGAGTCACATTTTCAGGGGCTGGAGGAAAGCAGCTACCTAGGTGAAGAAGGAGAAAACACTCACTTAAAAAAAAGGGGGGAGGGTGTAAAGCTTGCCAACAAAGCAAAATGCAAAAAAAATAAATAAGTAAGAGAGCTATGCTAGAGAAAATGGTACACCCCCTCTTTCTTGTACAGGGCGGCTGAGAATCAGGACTCCTTTCCAGCGTCCCTTCTTAACTCCCCCGCCCTTCTTTCCTCCCCCTGCCCAAACCCATTCCCCAGTTCTGCTCTGAGCAGGGCGGAGAGAAGTGTCCCGGCGTCTGGCGTGGGAGTTTCAGCCTGGTTTCTGCCCGTTTAATTTGCAAACGTGAAGCCAAGCGTTGTCGATCTGACCAAAGAGACACTCTTTGGGCGTAACTTGCATTGTGGCCATCAAAAGCCCTCCAAGCCTTGGATGAACTGAGACGTGCATTCATCAGAAATGGGGCGCTCGCTCTTCTTTCATATGTGGGAGAGGTGATTGTTCACAGGGTGTGTAGCCAGGGTGAAAACGAGGGGTCCCTAGACAGGACTGTAACTTGCAAACGGGCTTGGGAGAGTTAAACAATCTCATTAAAGCCGAGGTTATAATTAGCAAAATACGCCCTCCGAGAGAACCCAAGCCGTTCTTGAGTAGGAATAAAAGAGGAGAGTTTTGAGTCAGTCCCCACATTC